AAGATAGGAATCTACATACATGATCAGCCTTCCAAATCTGAAACAAAAGTTGTGCTATTGGGGAACAGAAATGACAGATACTCGGAAGCCTACATGTAAATCAATATCCATTGGTCTTTGCAAACAATAAGAGGAAGCAATGATATAAATGTAGACAGGTGGCTAACCAACTCATGCCTCCCTCCTATCCAGGTGAAAAAAGGTTGAAGATTGCACACTAGTTGTGTGCTGTATTGTTAATTCAAATCACAACATGTTAGCGTGCCCAATGGTAGCTACCGGTACATGTACATGACATGTACACTGTACATGATTGTATACGTCATTATGCAAGGCAGGCAAATGTATCCAGTTCTTTTCATCAGAGCCACTGAGGGCCAGCCCTGAATAATTATACCATCTAGAGAATGGCAGTCATTACAAAAACACTGAAAACAATGCCAGAATCAATACTGGGCTTATGAGATGATGGGGGGGGGGGGGGGGGGAACAATTGAAGGTCTTTATTGAATGGACAGGAAAACAGCTGGTTAAGCAGATGAGGGTGGTAGGTTGCGACCATGGCTTTGGAAGACAAAAGAGAAGAGATAGTAGTGGAAAAAATCATCCCAACTTTAAATTTTCCTCTTAAAATGGTGTCTATATGGTAATGTGCCTAGATGTGGTTGCCATGACGATTTGGCCCTGAACATGGGCAGGAAATTAAAAGCAAGAGAGGGTGGGTGTGGATTTTTTTTTTGAGTGACATCTGATTTGGTGACAAGCCAAGCGAGAGAATTGTTTGAAGATTTACAAAATGTACAGGGGCCTTATGGAGATGAGAGCCCTTCAAACACTGGGATTTAAGGATTGCTAGCAGGGTGGCCCTTTCCTACTCTTGTTGCCTTCCAAATCCAAAAATGTCATTCCAACCCAAGTTAGGCCCAGTAAAATAAAAATCCAGTTTCTCGTCCCCGCCCGCTTCCTTTCTTATGCCTGCCTCCTTTTTTTTTAATACATACATGTACATTCGTAAAATATTTTGCAAACATACTGTCAACACATGTTCCATGTACCAGTTTAATTGTCTTATTTTTTTCCAACAAAACTGCTTTATGTAAAATGGCCTACCGCTTCTGCGAACAGAATTTTGTATCAGCAAAAGAATCGAAAAAAATGGAAGAATCTGCCTTACACATCAACTGAAAATGCGGTTTTGACATTTTTTTAACTGCTGCTAGAGGGCGCTCTAACATTTTATGACGTCACCTGTAATATTTTTGTAAAGTTCAACATAGGCAGAGACGAACATCGTTGAAAGCAAGTTCACAACTTTTTCCAATTTCAAATTATTAGGCACTTCCGGTTTTGAACGGAAGGAAGGGTCATGTGATTTGACGCACACAAGATAAAATGAACATCATGTATTATCATATCAATTCCCGTAAAATTCAAGTTCCAGTCTCTCACGGTGATTTATGATTTTCGAAGATTAAATTCAGTGATCTTTCAAGTGACGTCACGTGACCCATGATGACGTCATCATGACGTAATACATGTAACAACAAAGAACATCTTCAGTGTGTTGTGCGTTCATGCATTGACAACTGAAGTTCATATATGTTTTCATTTTGACAAACTGTTCTGGAAACGAGTTTTATGTGTAATTTTTTTTTCATTTCTTTCTTTCCTCAAACCCGCTTTACTCCACTCATTTTTTTCTCCCAGCCCTACTCTCCAGGAACTGTCAATCATTACAAAGAAAACATGTCGGGCTGAATAGAGTAAGTGGTGTGCACTGAGACACGATGGGGACTCAGAGCGAGAGAGAAAAGGACAGGGGGGAAGAAATGAAATTGCAGAACAGAGGCAAAACTAATCCCATTCCATAGGTTACGTACAATAACCACAGTCAGTTAGAAACCTTCCAAAACCTGCCAACAAGGCTTGATAGAGAAAAAAATAAAATACACAAACAAGTAACAAGCAGCTAGACAAAAGTCTACTACTCGTTTCTGATCAAGCATGATATCCCCAAACACAAGAAAAATATAGTATCAATGGATTTTGTTTTTATCACAAGTTTTGCTGATAATTTTTTTTAACATTGCAACTGAAAAGGCTGGACTGATCGGAGGCATTATGTTGTTTAATTTTCCCTCTGGTAATAAAAACAGAATTTTTTCCAGCTGACTTTTCACTCTTTTATGCTTTTTGTTTGCATCCTGGCAAACTTGGTGCAAGTTTTAAGACCCTTGTTTCCATGTTTTTCTTGTGTCAAAATCGGTTCAGAATTTTGATGTTTGGCAGCGACCTGTTGCCCCTGCTGATGTTTACTTCAAAGCATGTTTCTCAGGATTTGTAGAGTTTAGCACGAAAACAGGGAGCCAGAGGGGCAGAATGAACCCTTGAAAACAAACAAATAAACAAAGAGCTAAGTGTCGACAAATCTGGCATAATATTTGAAATTCAACAGCCAAATATACCAAAGGGATCATAAAGGCAACCATGCCTGTGTGACTCAGTGTGTTCAGAAAGAAATGTCAGAGATTAAGAGTTAACAGTTGTATAATGATTTGGAGGGAAAAAAGTCATCAGAGTCATAAAAAGGAAAGGGAAAAAATATGTGACAAACAAAGTGGGTCCGGGGTAGTCTCTGAGGAATTTGAATTGGCAGGGTATAAGCTGAACACTAGAACAACTGTGCATTGCAACAAGTCCCCCCTCAGAATACCAAATGACTCAGCACTGGGCTTCAACGGAACAAACTGGGCATGAAAGCCCAGTTATTAACAGCGCCAAGCGACAAGATCTCTGCAAACAAAATTTGGCCGTCATTTTTAACGCCGGGCCCTTCTCCCTATGACATTGGAGTCCTCGGCCCAAACCAATCGGGAATAACCCGGAGTAGATTTTCGGATGAGACGCTGAAGTTTGGCCCAAAATGCACTTTACGAACGAAAAAAAAAAAAGCCAATTATAAAAGGAAGACAGGGGTGAGAAATGAACGGGTACAGGGGCGCGGAAGGGTAATCGAAATGGACAGTCATATACCAATAAGTAATCTTATGCTAGACAAACACTTGAATGTTTGCTCTGTTTGCTTTGGCAATTCTGTGAATGGTTCCTGTGAAGTGATTGTTGCCGTTAAAAAACGGCAAACTCCGGGTCTCATGAAATCACTGTTATTTCCGTGCAAACGAATAAAGGGTAGCTATATCTTACACATCCAAACCAATGATTTGCCCGTGAACTTCGCTTAAAAAAAATGTCTCTGAGATGAGTGAATGCACGCAGTCAAAATGTTGACAATAGGAGTTTTTTATTAGAAACGTGCAGGGAATTTCAGCCGCAGCAAACAAATTGAATTAATAAAACTGTTTTATCCTCCAAAAAAATTAAAGCTTAAACATGCATGTGTTAATGTTGTAAGCTTGAATCTCTGCACACAGTGGCTGAAATTATGTGAAAGATATAGCCAATAAATATGATGCAGTTACTAATGCAACATTCTAACATTCTTGTGAAATTTATTTCCCAACACATACAATGTAAAAAAAAATGAAAAGAAAACAATGTAAACACAAAATGTGTATTTGCAATCTCATATTACATTCTCTAAATGCAAAGCAGGCTTGCTGTGAAATTGTAGGAGAATATTTAAACAAAGACCATTACATGTAAATACACCTCAAAGAAACACTTGTCTGTTGCAATCTTTATAACACCACAGAAAACCCATTACCGACGAACAGATCAACTCTACTCATGCTGGCCCCCCAAAAAATCCCTTTATGCTACTGGCTACCCTGGGGAGAAAGGCTTAATTGTCTATTACTTCCCCTCTCACTTTGCGCATCTTCCAATTAATCCCCACCTCTAACCAAAAAAGAGCGTAACGCTAACTGAACGAGCACCCAGAATATGTGTCAGGTTGCCCTGGGGCGAGTCTAAGATGATTTTCAGTACTACCCCAAGGCAGATGAGATCTGCCACAGGACCTCAACAACTTGTCCTACTGATTATTTTTGGTTGTCTTTTTGGTTTCTCTTACAGTGTCCTGTAGTAAGTTATGAAGTGTCGTCAAATATGGTGTATAAAGGGCGAGTAAAAAAATAGGAAACCCAAATGGCAGGACCATTTCTTAATGACGTTCTGCAAGTAGCACACTATAAAAGGATATGAAAGCCCAATTAATAAGCTTTCTTTTTGTACAAGAATCATTCAAATCAATCATGTACTTTTCAAGTTACGGGATTTTAAATACAACCACCGTTTAAAGTTCTGTCCACGGATCATAAAAAAAGTAAGTGTTCTTTCAGCAAAACGAAACAATTCACATAGGGATGTGATTGAATTGTTTTCGTTTTGCTGAAAGAACGCTTACTTTTTTTATGATATGTGGACATAACTTTAAAACAGTGTTTGTGTTTTAAATCAACAATTCACATAGGGATGTGCATGAATGTTTTCGTTTTGCTGAAAGAACAATTGCTTTTTTTATGATCCGTGGACATCCCATAACTTGAAAAGTACATAAGTGATTTGAATTCTTACACTAAAAGAAAGCTTATTAATTGGGCTTTCATATCCTCGATTTTGGAAGTGCTAGATGCAGAACTTCAGTACAAAAATGGTCCTGCTATGTGGGTTTCCTTTTTTTGACTCACCCTGTAAATGTACAAGCCAATTCTTTTCTTACAGTTGACAGGTAATTTTGAAAAAAAAAAATTGACATACATTTAATGTAAAGGAAGGGACAGTGATCAAACGTGGATTCGAAGATACAACCACTATTTTTCTGGAACAACTTCGGTGGAGAAGGCATCCCCATCTGGTCACATGATCTTAACTTGTAACAGTAAATAGGGGGTTCTTTGGGCCACTTATTCAAGTCTGCCAAGGAACTCTACAAATTGCCTACTGGACCAACTGAATTGCCTTTGGCCATGTCTCAGACCAAACGTCCGAATTGTAAACATAACTATCAAATTGTTATTTCAAAAGAAACTGGTACTCACCACTTCTGTTGGACGGTAGAACTTTTCATCCACCTTTACGCGTACAATCCCTGAGGCTTTGTCTTTACCCACCTCCTTGGTTCCTTTGCCTTCCCAACTGTCAAAATGAAAGAAATCAAAGAAAAACAAGCTTGGCTTAATTATTACATTTACTTCATTTGAAAAATAAAACCTATGAGTAACTTCAGTTTTCAGGGATTCAAAAAACAAACAAACAAAAAACAAAAAAAACAAAACAACATAAGGGGAAAAGTCAGTGTGGGTTGGACAGATCCAGGTTGTGGACTTGCAATGCATCATGGGAAAACGTTTGTGTAACTTAGTAAAGTTTGAAAACGGCTAAAAATCTGTCACACTGCACTATGAAACAAGAGTATGTATGTTGTGTGGCATTGGAAGAAAAACGTTGTTTTAAAAACATTATTCTTGCTTCCAAATGCATGGTTTCCCATACTAAATACTTCATTGAAACATTCACAGAATAACCCAAGCCACGTTTCGTATGAGTTGAGAAACAAACCAACAATACTATGGAAAAGAATGAAGATGAAAAGCTTTAACTGAAAAAAATTCCACCGCTTGACAGTGGTTGTCACTTGGGACTTAATCTCAGCTTGGTCAGGTTCTGTGTTCCCTTCAATACTCAGAGGACAACCTGCTTCATGTTTACATTTCAATGTACGTCAGCTCACAGGGAACAACTGTCACAGTATGCATATTTCCCCCTCCCCCTAAAAAAAAAAATATGGCTTCACTGACTCAGAAAAGAGAGTTTAATTAAAAGAAACCAACCTCTCCAACAGCCAACCGTTTCCCAAAAGGCCCTTGTGTTAATTTTGGGTCCAGACTTTCTCTTCCCCCCCCCCCACTTTTCTTTTTGAAGAGGGGTAAAAATGGTAAAATCAATTTGTGGTCCCAGTAGTTTGGGTTCAGCCTCGCTAATGGACAGGAAGCAAATAAAGGCATGACAGGGGGGTAAACACTGCCTGGCAAAATGTTGTCGGATAGACTGTGCGAGCGGGGCGCGTTAGTTAAACAAGGGGGTAAGTAATGCGGGAAGGGTGAGGGGGGGCATATGGGACTGCCTGTCCAACCACACGTGCACCGCAGACAGGATGAGGTCACAGGAACTATTTCCCCACCATGACGGCACTTGATATTGCAGGCGCAAGGGATCATGTACCTTTCTGGACTGCAGATCTTCAACAATTTGTTGGGCAGTATTTTATTTTATCTCTTGAAAGTGTTCAACACAGCCAGTGAACACTATAGAATATTAATGATAAAGGTAGAAGCATGGGGAGGTAAAAATGAATGATTATAAAATGCATTTGCTTTGGAGTTTTAATTGCATGATTAAAATTAAAATCAAACATTGCATGTTAATACATTTTATTAAAGGTTGAAAAAGATAATGTACTGGAGCTGGATTTGAATCTATGACTGAGCCACACTATGCTGACAGTCTTTCAATTTGTCAATTTCTTGAAATAAACAAAAGTAAATAAGGGGGGGGGGAAGAATTGACAAAATACAATGTAGAAAAATCATTTAGTGACAAATCGATATATTTATTTTTGGGAAATGGAAAAAAAAAAAAAAAATCTGAAGACAGGCTGATAAGACCATTTGCATTGTCACTTTTTTCCCCCTAAAAATTCTTATCTTTAAAAACAAGTGATCCGAGGATCGCATGTGTCGTCTTTTTTAAAATTCATGAAAGCATGTACATTGTAAAGTTTCCCCAAAAACCATGAATTGCATCATTATTAAACTCAGTTGACGTCTGACCTACATGTATAACCTTTCACCTAAAAAATATCCCACATTATCTTTGCTACTCAATGACCATTGTGTCCAAGTTTTATGGAATTCGGGCGAATAGTTACATATAGGAAATGAGAGCAATTCCAAAAACTTAAACACATATGGTTCCGGGGTAGCAGCATTGTTGTCCCTTTATCCCTATTTCTAAAGATTTCACTTGACGGGTACCCTCTCTTCTTAAGATTTCAATTGTGGGGTACCTTTCCCTTTGTTTGAGTACCCCACATGTACCTCTGATGTGTACGGGCATACAGAATGTAGGACTGGTTAGTGTCTCCCAAAACTTTGTTTAAAAGGCGACACAAAAATTACTTGTTAAGATTTCTAAAATACTTCTGAGATACCACATAAAAATGGTCGATTATTCCATGGGCAGACTTTTATGCCTCATGACTTAGTCCCATGACAAATGACAAATGACTCGGACTCGACCCTGCGGACTTGAACTCGACCTGCGTGACTCGGGACTCGACCAAAATGCACTTACTTTCTTTAATCAATATCATTAGAAATTATTTTGAAGATGATCCTCTCCTGAGCAAGGGATACAGTCAAAGCTGTGCAGAAGAAATGCATATATAAACATGTGCAGCTGGTTTGTTTCCCATAATTATATTGATTTGGGAAATTAATGTATCGAAACATGTACCCCTGCGTCCTTACTTGATATTGCGTAAATGCAACCTTGATAGTGTTCGGTACCAGATTATCCTTTCCAGACACTAGTGCCTTGTCAAATTTGACATATTGTGTAGTTCCAGTTATTAGAGAAAAGCTTGTGACTCGGACTTGGTCTCAATCTGCATGACTCAGGACTTGGACTCAGACTAGGGAGAGGTGACTCAGACTCGGACTTGATGTTTGGTGACTTGATAACATGTCTGCCAATGAGGCACTAGAAAGATGGCAAACTTACACAATGTCCACCCCGATGCATTTGAAAGACTCAACGACAAATTCCCGTACACTGTGGACCTGGTTAGTGGCTATGACAAAGTCTTCTGGCTTGTCTTGTTGTAGCATCATCCACATAGCCTTAAGTATGCAAAAGAGAGAGAAATACAGAGAAACAATTTAAACCATTTCAGAGTTGGGTTCCAGAGTTGTGCTGAACTGAGTCATTTCAAAGATTTGATTAGTACATGAAAACTTTGACGTTTGAGACAATTGGGAGCCAGTGCATGAAAGATTGCCTGTTTTAGTCATTCAGGATGACTTTAAGGTCTAGTTAATGAAGAATTAATACCCCAAAAATGCCAGTTTGAAACCAAAACCTATCAAATATGTTTTGGCTCAAAGTCATTCCAGAAAGTAAGTCTTGCCCTTCTGTACCCACCAAAATACTTCAATATTCACTTGAAGAAAATACACCATGTTTCCCATATAGACATTACTACACAGGTGTTCAGCCACACACTTCAAGGAATCACAGTACATGTACATTGGATTGTTCGACATCATGGACACAGAAGTTTGGGGAAAACTCGTCTATGAAGGAGACTTATATACGGCTGGAGATACGTATAACTATGCCGCAAAATCTCTGCTGCGTAATAAGTAACCATTAGGTGTTTTTTTCATCTTTTCTCATGAACAGTGGCACATCAGGTTAATAGTTTCCTTTCAACCAGACCTTTGAAATACAGGGCGAGTCAAAAACTGCAATGATGCAAAGGAGACATTTTATTTTCAAATTGTTGAAAAATGAACTTTTGAAATGTTGTGAGAATGACATATTCATTAGTAACCTTGTGTGATAAACACATTTATTCGCATTTACTGTTTGTCCTTTTAATATGATCATTTTTACTGCGGATTACGTTTCTGTACACATTGTAAAGACATTATAGACAACACAGATTTAAAAATGACTTAACTTTAGCTCACGGTTTATTTTTCTGTTTCACTTCTTTATGTTTATGCAAGCTTCTCCCGGAACTTGTCTGAGACAAAGCGAATGATTCTACCTCCAACTTTTAAGTCAATTCCCATCACACAACTATAGCTAGAGATTCTGAATAATAAGTTTATCGGCAGACTAGTCTAGTCTTCTGTATTCACCTCCACGTAATCCTTGGCATGCCCCCAGTCTCTCTCAGAGTCCAGGTTACCCAAGCTGATATTCTCCTGTTGACCCAGGTGGATCTTGGCAACTGCCCGAGTAATTTTCCTTGTCACAAAGGTTTCACCTAAAAAAAAAAGGAAGAAAATTATCAAAATTACACATCAACATTTGTCATACGTAAGGTAACCCAATTATGCCAAATGGTACATATTCAGAGCATTTCCTCAGTTGGAATGTCATACAAAACAAAATAACCTAAGTGTTTAATTTCATAAAAAATCTATACCAAAACAATGTGAAATTCATTGTGGGTAGCACAAACATTAGGCAAAATTAACCTTAGGTCACCAGTTGAATAATATCTATCCAATAAATGCTCTACCTGTGCTCTCAAATACATATTTAATCATTTTTTCTTCTCTGCTAACGATTTCTCAATTTGTATGTTTAACTTAACCAGAAAAAAACCCCAAAAGATATGCCTATTAAAAAATGAAAATGTATTGTCAGGCCGCAAATATTTCAAAATTTGTAAAGTAATTATTCCATGACTAAAACGTGGGTGGATTGTTTCTGTTTGATGTCTCATTCAAAAGTGAATAAGTTTTGAATTGCTAGAAAAGTAATAATTTAAAAACAACATTTATTTTCGGGGTGAAAATCGAAAAAATAGCACAGAGGGAGCAACTTTAAAGAGAGTCGCTGCCATAAACGCCTTTGGAAACATGATTGATACAAACAGAACAATCATTTTGTCAAGCGCATGCCGTCAGTGAAAATGCTTGGTGCTGAGCCACAAAGCGCCCTCTATAATTTGCATTCAGGCCAATTACCTCTCCTTGGGCTCTCGTGGTTGAAGAGTATGCCATTACAAGCAAACATGTTGTAGGCCTCTCGGAAGTTGACTGTGATCCAGTAAGCATACAGCTTGGCAGCACCTGAGTTAAGATCAAATGTTTCACATGATTCCAACAAATAATTCATATGCTTGTCTTCCGAGAAAACAATCTATACAAGAGATTCATGTGCAACAAAGATAATAGAGACCATACGGGATACATGTACACAAGATGGTTATATCACCATTTTGTGAAGTTATTTCACCAAGGCACATGTACAAATGTATACATCTCAACATTTTGATGTGAAATGCACGTTGCCCGTAGTGTGCCAGATGAAATAACCACGCAAATTTTTAACAAGCAACTTTTATTGAGACACATACCCTAAGTATCCCATATGTGCACCATTTCTAATGGCCTGTAATGCATCTTAACCATGCACAGTACCGGTACTATAGCCAAGCCAGAGGTACCGGTACATGTACATGCGCATTCTATCAGCATTCTCAAAATTACATATTCACATTTTTTCTTTGATATGGTATTTTTCTGTACACTCCCAAATCTACAAATGTTACATGCAGAGATAAAATGCCTACAACATGCATATATCTTCTACTAACAATATGTTGTACTTATTTACAGTGCGCTTGTTAACACTCATGTACATAAATATACATTTTCAAGGACTGCAATAAATTGCCTAACTCTTCAAGGCAATGATTATGGAGGGCAACATATATTGCCTAACTTTTAAGTCAGAGGCAATGCTCTGTTGAAGGGATCACTTTTTTGCCTAACTTCGTAGCCGTTTTCAGTGCAGCATTTTGTAATCCTTTCATTGAGTTAAAATTAAACAGAATGGCCCTATAGCCTCAAAAGCGGAAATGTAAATTAGCTCAATTATATTTTTAATAGAAATATGCAGAAATTAATGACAAAAAAAAGTACATGTAAGGCCAAAAAAAAAAATATTCGGTCTCTGGTCAGACCAAAGTTCCGGAATTGACGCGGCGACGCGGCTTTTTTTTTTTTTTTTGCTTTTTTTTCTTCTTCAAGCTTGGATTGTACAGACAAGGTGGGGTACTATTTTGCTTTTTTGGTGTCCTCATGTACATTGGTGTCCTCCATAATTTGCCTTGGTGCTTTCGATCATTTTCCTTGGTGCAATTTCCCTTTCCTTGGTGCTCTTTGGTAAAACAAATTGAGGAGGTGCGGAAATAGAGGGCGCTGTTGGAGCTACCGCGGAACATTTTGGAAAAAAAAAAGATCGACGCGCATGATTAAAATCGACGTGCGCGCTGACCAGAGACCGACTTATTTTTTTTTTGGCCTAACAATGAAATGTGATTTTTTTTGTCAAATCTTAACGGAGAAAATAGCAATTCATTTTAAGGGGATGACGTGGGGTAATTTTCCAGAATAAAAGAAGACTGCTGTTCCAAGTAGCTTCATATATCACACACAAAAAAGCGAATAAAGAGCCAAAGTTCCCCAATTTTTTCTTAAAAAAGCAGTCAACAGAAAAAGACAACCTTTTACAGTATTTTTCAAATACTGGTCCCATTTCATGGCTATTGTTAGCCACTCCTTTTTGTGCACATTTGAAGAAATGTTGTGCTTACCCTGTAGAGTAAGCAGAGAATCTACATGTATGTTACAGGATGTCCGCGTGGGCACAAGTCAAAGTCTCTGCTAGTAACATGCCAACAGTTCCAGCAGCAGTTTTTGCTAAAGTTACTAGGGATCCTTGGAATACAGTAAGGAGAACGTTGTAGTTGAGCCCATTTATTTGTCTGCTTAGTGCTTACCGTAGGGTGACCGGGGATAGAACGGCGTCTTTTCCGTTTGAGGGATTTCCTGTACCTTCCCAAACATCTCGCTGGTGGAGGCCTGGTAGAAACGGACTGTGTCCCCGAGACCACATGTCCTAATGGCATCCAGCAGACGCAGGGTACCAACACCGTCCACATCTGCTGTATACTCGCCAAGCTCAAACGAGACCTGTATCCAAAATGAAGTTGATTTTTTTGAATTCAAAACTCTTCAAATTCAGTGCCTTGATTGGTTGAAACTGTTTCTTGAGTGCCAGATTTGAGTTATCACAGTAACAATGCCATAATGTGGGAAGGAAAAGTGCACAGAGCCTTTGATGAGTAAGGCATATAAAAAAAAAATGATTTCTATTTTTTGTACACTTCAGAAACATACATACTGTACATGTACATAATTGCACAAAAATCTGTCCATTTGAAATTTACTTCAGGAGGAATTTAATGTTAACACACTACTTGTACAATAGTCATCCGAAAATGTTGCTTGAGCACTCCTCATACTAAAATGTGACTTGAGAAATGCCTTAAAAGTAAAAAGGGGGTGGGGTAGAACCCTTTTTCTATTAGAAATGTCTTTTCAAGAGGCTCAACATGTATGTACATGTAGCTGTTAATGGACATTATATGCATGCACTGGAACCAGCAAACAACCTCCATTTGCAAAGTACAGTGATTGCACTGTTAGACTAAAACAGCGCCCTCACTCCTTTTTTTTTCCTTCTAAAACTGTCAGTAATGGGTCAAGAGAGGGCGCTTTATCAACTTGTTAAAGCTGTTTTTTTTTCAATCAAATGTTATTTTAAAACAAGTGGTACTTTGAGGAGGGCTATGTTTTCTGATTCTTAAATTCCTGTTCCCTCTGTTTAAAAATTTCAATGAATCAAAAAAAAATCAGGAAAAACAAAATACTTCACTCATGTGAATTTCATGTGACCCAGATTTAAATAAAAGAAGAAAACTTAATGTAAGCATCGTTGTCATATCGATATTTCTCAATTATTCGATATCATCTCAATATTGATAGCCGATAGCAATTTTTTAATCATATCGAAATATTGAAATGTTGGATATTGAGGAATAATCTAAAAAAAAAAAATCGAAACTGCGTCAGATTATGGTCAATTTTTAAATTTTTAATTAAGGTGTCATCTGAATTGAATTGAAGGTTTTTTTTGAAGGTTTTTTTATTGTTCGTACCATTCTCACAGTCTGAAGACTGAACTGCGATGGTTTACAATTTACAATTAACAGAAATCATTAAAAAAAAACATTTATACATAGGCCTATGTTCGACATTAAAGTATTCTAAAAAGACCATTATTTTTTTATGCATAATGTTAAAACATAGAAATATTCTAAAAATATTCATCTTCATGGTATTTACATTTTACATGGGGTAATCGATATATTGAACATTCTTGGTATTGAAGTTCCGATATAACGATTATTGAAATTCTGATATTGACGGCGCTTATACCGGTACATGTAGTTAATGATCTTAGGAATGAAATGTTGGCAAAATATGGTTGAATGTACACAGATTGCAGACTACCGGTATCACATTCCATTCCTGTCTATGTAAGTAAAATCAAGCACCAATACCAAAGCAGATTTTGCATCCAAGGAAATGACCGAAATGTGTGTTTCAAATATTCAGCCTGGAGATTTTGATCGATTGTTAAACTGGACATGACAATCTCTAAATAGGCACCATCTGTCTAAAGAACGTCTGAAGATATTTAATTAATTTTTTTTATTATTCTATGCATGCCTGATCATTGAGAACATCATCTGTACATACATGTACATGTACAGTGTAACCTACATGTACATGTACTGGCAAAACAGTTACTGCCGGTACACGTAGGCTCAATTGTTTACATACAATACTGTCTGTATATCACACAGTAGGCTATACTGGTATACCGGTATGAGCTTACAGTTGTACACAAATTGTGGTGAAAGAAATCAGAGATTTCAAAATCTGGTTATGTTAATTTTTTTTCAAACCAAATAACGGTAACATTCACCTCACAGTCATGCCAACGAAAAGTTACAAGTGAGGTGCCGCACGGAATGCCGTACACGATGATTTGGTACGCATACATGTACATGTACATGTAATGTAGTTTGCGGAATTGAACGACCACTGGGCCTTTAAAAAACACTTGATAGCTGTAATGTTGAAAAAATGGGTGGGAACTCTCTGATCAGACGAATGGGCAGGCTCTTCATATGTATACCAAGAAGACTGTTAGCAAGTGAATGCGGTTACAGAGACCATGGAGCAAATTGGGGGATGTTCTGGTTGTTTTCTCTAGCTTGTGCAACAAAAAATGGAACGCCAAATATTTTTAAGGTTTGTTTTGAATATCCGGTTTCCAAAATCCAAACCGAATAATGGAATTCGATCCGAATTTTAAAAAATTCGGATTTTAATCCTACCACTATACAAAAAAAGAGAGAAGTTTTTGTGAGCGGTTGTCAGCCAAAGTGTCACATGTGTGCATAGCCTCTGAGTGATTACACATACATGTACCAGCAAAGTTGCCTGTAACTGATGCTTTTTGGTGATTTGCAACTGAACAAACATTTCTGCTTTGGCAGGTACAAAATTAGCTCCTGGCACATGTGTATGTGCTTTGTCTAATCATGCCAATAAGCCAACAAAATAAAGGGATGCAACTTACTATGCAAGAAATATATGAAATCACTGCGGTGTAACCTTTCATAACTGCCAATTTGATCTTAGACATAAGACTGAGTGGCTGCAGTTTCAGTCACGAGTCATGCCGGCTGGCCCTACATGCGTGCATAACACAGCTAGGTAATTTATATGCAATGAAGTACATGTATACAAGTTTAATTATATGGAATGCAGTATATATGAGGTAATTTATATGCAACGCAGTGTAAATGAAGTAAACAGTTATTTTTTAGAGACTGGACACGTGGCCATTTTAGACCAATGAAATTTCAACTGCCAAATTTAGACACGATATAACAACACCTTTTATCATTCTCCAAGACTTTCGGAATAGACCCTGGGCACAAGGTAAATGATGTGACCTGGGGTGTGCTGGTATCAAAGATGACCAGGGCGTGCACATGTCAATGCAAGCCCAGATGCGCATGTCACTGCAGATGCACGTTTCATCAATGACCGAAGCTTTCAAATGTTCACTTAAAATGTATAGAGGTGTAAACACAAAAAAATTCCTGCCTTTATGAAATGACATTTTAATGATCACATTGGTACTTCATAGAGACTAAAAAACAGTTACAATGTACCGGTACATGTACATGTATGTACCGTACGTACCATGTGGGGTATCTCTGTGAATTAGAGTTCCAAAATGTGATGTATCTTTGCATGTAAAGCTGCCCTATGGTTGAGCTTGCAACGACACAGAACAGTCAGCGACTGACTTTTCAGGATCACGCTGCGCCTGAGCTACAATGATATTAAGACAATCTACATCAGTTGGCGCTCAAAAAAATTGTAAAAAAACAGTTGCAAGAGAATAAAAATGTCAACTTTTGCACCTCGTCGGAACGTGTGCCTGATGACAGGCGGGGAATCAATCACAGTCGACCTGTGTGAAGTTACCACGTAGTGCTCGCAACCAAATTATCTTTCTTCAGCTTACAGCAAAAATGGTTGAATGAACAGAAGTGGCCGTGGACGATTGTTTGATTGTTAACAACATGTGCACTGCCATTTTGAAGACATCACATGATCACGTCTATGCCGAGGAATCGTCGCCGCATCGTGGGTGACACAAGCATGTTTGTAATTATTTTGTGTGACGCCAGTTGTTCCTTGAGAATCACACGATTCTTGTGGAGCAAAATGGCATTTTATTTATTGCATTTTGGAAATATACTTATCATACGATGTAATATAGATTGTCATACATGTACATGAACTTCTGAAATATATCATGTGAAGATCTCAGCCAATGACATTTCAAAACCTACATTGTACATGTACTTATAGAAATTGCCCATTGTGGAATCTCTAAGATGGTCCTATGCAAACTTCTAAAACACTACACCTGAACAGTTCTAAACCAATTAATGTTCATAATCTTAATACCTTGGTGCGACAAATGGATTGAACTCTCACCTTCACATGGCTCTGGGCACCCAGGTTGTAGATTTCTGTTGGCCGTACTTGACTGATAATCTTCACGAGGCAGGTACTGTCAGTAAGGTCGCCATAGTGTAGTACCATATCTGTGGATATAAATCAAATGGCCAAGAAATGATTCGTCACAGTTAAAACAAAGAAAAGATACAAATAGCAGACTCTACTAAAAATAAACTACACTGTGCATTTGATTAGCTCCCCTACGATGTATGTATTCAAGTTAGGCCTGGCCACTGTAAATGCATTCACTTGCTAGTTGTGTTCTTGGTACAATGTATATGAAGAGCCTGCCCATTCGACTTATCAGAGAGTTCCCATCCATTTTATTCAACACTACAGCTCCGGAGTGTTCTTGTAAAAAGTAGTTATTGAATCCTGCAAACTACCGGTATACCCAGTCATTGGGAGGGCATTGCATGCGGGACCTCACTTGTCACTTTTCTTGGGATGACTGTGAGCTGGATGGGAACTTCCAGTATAAAAGATAACCGTTATTCAGTTTGCAACAAATTAGGATAACCGAATTTTGAAATCTCCAATTTCTCCCACCAGAAGTAGTATCCCCAGCCGAGTCAAAAGCTTGGTTAAGATGTCAGCATTAGTTAAGCAGGGGACTGTAGGCTTGACTGGCATACCAGGGTACCGCCAAACCAAAACGTATTATAAGCCACTACAGTCCATTCAAAGACATCTTGGTTTCAGACAGGCACATTTTATATCTAATGTTTCTTTTGACTAGACTATGGGCTCCATGCGCGAACAAGAGGGGGCGCGCTTATTTACCAAATTCGAGAGCCCCGTGGATGCGCGTATGGTTCACACGCGTATGGCGTGAAGTACGTCAGCTAATTTCATTCTGAATGTGCCATAGCATCTTCGAGTGAGCCTCAGGCGTCGTCGGCAATGCGTAAAAATGTCAATCCAGGTGGCCTCACCCAACTCTCCCTTCTTAACCGTTGAGGGGGACTTGTGCACGGAGCCCATAAGTCTGAACTACTGGAAATATTTCATTGGCTTGAGCTCCTAGTTGCTCCTAACCATTCCAAACTTTGAACTCAAATCTATTCAAATCTTTGGCATAATTTAGTTTCGGGCGACTCTTGAAAAATATTTTGAAAGTGTACAAATAACGACTTTAAAAGGGATATTTCCATTATCACCATTTCGCACACCCATTTTTTACGAATAGAAGAGGCACACAGACCATCTTTCGCGCTCTTCTTAGGCCCCCTCCCCTCCATCCCCCCTGGGACAGACACAGTGATTGCATAGTCTCTTTCCTGAACAAAGTTCAGATGAGGCAAAAATGAATCGAGTCCATTCTTGTCACATGGTACAACGGAAATGAAGACATCAAGTTTGCAAGTCTAAAACTAGGGCCAAGTTCGGGCAAGGACCATTAGTCAACTAGTGGTTGATTTGTGACGTACCTTACGCCTGCGCACTAATAGCAAAGTGCGAACGTCTCTAGGCGAACGCTGGTCAAAATGTCATTGCAAAACGTCTAGATCCTGGCTCCCTGCTGTACGTTATGAATGCGCGCGGCTATGGTTACCAGCGAAGCAACCAAGTAGGTTGGTTCCAAATAGTCGACTAGCGTAGTTAACCATCATCGACTAGACAGAGTTCGGGCAAGCGTTAGTCGACCAATGGTTAACTATAGTCCTTGCGCGAACTTGCCCTGAAACCTACATTTGTATTTGTGTTCACCTGAGCCATTTCTGATAAAAGTTGGTTGCACTCAACTCTGGGACACCAGTCTGAAGCATGTAAGGCTCCAAGCCTTCAGGGTCCATTGACTTATACATGTAAATGTTACCTTTCATTTGATGTGTCTTGGTGTCTGCGTACAGGTGAGCTATGCGGCCAGTGTTGAATGAACTTGATCTGCGCATGATGCCATGAACCTTGTAAGAGAAAGTAAAGAAAAAAGAAATAATTTCACATAAACAAATCACCAAGGTTATCATCAAGGAAGTAATTTTTTTTACTGCCAGTGTTCATCAGAAACAATGTTCGAAGGATTTTTTCCTGTTCAGCCGGCCATCGCAAAATTAAAATGTGTGGGGGCTGGGGATTGGCTGGACACTGTCTGACTATTGGAAATGCTTGTCAAAGCAGACGATCTCGGACTACATTGTATATTGGACAATAAGTGGCGCTCTTTGCTGCAACATATTTTCCAATGTACACACGATTTGCCGACACTAGGTGGGTGTGGTGCTCTTTGCTGTGACCAGGGTTCATACACTTGCAACAGCTCAAATTCAAGGACTTTTCAAGGTCTTTCAAGGTCCAGAAATCCCATTTTCAAGGACCAAAATCCAGCAAACATTGATGGTTTATCGGAGACATTTGATCTGCACCAATTACAAGTAACTAACTAGTGATGATGATGATGATGAACTAGTGAGTGCCGATTCACCCATGCCGGTCAAGTCTATTGTTGTATGACAGAGATGACATTTGGCATGATGTTTGTCAGCTTTAGCAATCCAATCTTGATAATTTGGATCATGGATCCATCTAGTGTTAAACATACAACTTCCTGGCATTAGTGTTTACTGAAATCTGTGATTGACCTAGAGAACTGTTATAAATTAATCTTGGCTGTCATGTTTCATGATCATTTCCCACTCCGAGTCGTCTCTGATCAGAAAAACTTCGTAGGTATCCGGCATCTTCCCAGCTGTGCTTGAAAAAGAGAGAGGGGACCGACTACATTCACACGTACAAGGCTAAACTTATACAAAGACCACTTGGGTCCTTCGTCAAGTAATCATCATTGCAACGCAGTCCAAAAAGTCTGGTCCGTGCGTCTCATGCAAGATCAGTGGCATGCACGAAGAGTCTGGGGAGCAACTCAAGAGCACTCCATGCAGGGAACACACTGAGTGTGCACATACCGGTTTACACAAATCTGAAGCTTTTGCACAAATGTATGTAGTAACCACCCCTCGCAGCTGCCAGGCAAACAGTGTTGTATTCAATTCCTTTCGCAAGTTTCTTTTCATAAAGCCAGTCACAAACTGGATGAACAATGACAAAGGAACACTTTTGTAAAAGTTCATTTGAATAGCTAGTGACTTGACTTGAGATTGGAGGACTTGTGATGGACTTGCAGGGCCTTACATGTACAGGGACTCAAAAATACAACACTGCAGGCAAATGACTAAATAACTCCGCCCTCATTGAAGGAGTAATTGTGCACGGAGTCCATACTTGTCAGATTGAGCAAAGGACTGGACTTCTATGCTAGGTCGGATCTGATTACCTTGTAACCCTTGGAAAGTAGCAGTTCTGCAAGATAGGAGCCATCCTGCACAAAACAAAACAAAAAACATAAACAAACTTAGGTAAAAATGCTGACAAATTAAGAAACAGAGACCAGGGCAAATTCATTCCAAATTTAAGATAAAGATGAAAAGATTGAGGCAAAACAATTCTGACAATTGGGCATTATTTGCATGGCACTAACAGTTGCTGCACTGACAGCAAGTTTTATTCTACAGTGAGGACATTTGGCATTATTTCATTGGATTATTTGCCACTTAATCTGATGGTTGTTGTTTTTGTCATTTCGCTGCCTTTAACACAGCCATTGACGGACACAGGTTCAAAAAGTTAAAAACTTCCAGATCACGTGGACTGCAATGGACAAGCAAGAAGGTGCTCCATAGTTTGGAAGACCTTCCCTCAATCACACATTACATGTACATGTATCTGCGTCGCAGCCCAACTTCTCCTGCATCTGGTGCATCCAATTACATGTGCAGGTTCTTGGGCAAGAGACACTTTGTCACAAATTGCTCCTCCCCATCATTTATTTGTTTGAGGATTGTATTTGGTTTGTGTCAGAAAATTTGCTACATCTACATGTAGCTGTTTACTGCGCAGGGAGCTGAGATAGTCTAAGGAGTTTTCTTAGCCCATGAGCAGGGGCAACAATATAAATCACTTTCACTTTGCTGAAAATATTAAAACACACCAATTATTGATAATCATGACAATTTAGCCATCTACAGTGAATTTGCCCCTCAATACTTTCACTTCAAGTCTGATGCCTCTATCCGGCCCGGAACCCTTTGAAGATTTTCTACCCCTTCTCAAAGTATCAGACCCTTTGTGTCAAGTACAATGATTCTAACAAGCACTACTGCCTTCCTCCTCAGCACCAAGTGATCCAGCTGTATCCCAGGTCCTCAGCTTATCTAAGTTCCCGGTATTATCTCAACTGGAGTCTCACTCATCACCTGTCTATTAGCTGACGAGTGGAGAGGGAGACAGAAAGAGGAGGGCAAAGTCAGAGCATCTCCTCCCTTGGTGTGTTATCTGTTTGCACTTTTGAGCTCGCTCTGACAAATCGGAGTCAGACCCAGTCAACCGTAACTAGTGAAGGGGAGAGAACATATGTGGAACACTTTGACAAATCTGGATGCAAGGAGGTGGATTTTAGAGAGATGGGCTATAATGTAACTTTGTAAGACACTAGCAAGATGGAATCGTCACTATTATGGATGACTCAAGTGAGTTCATTCTGAACATGAAACAGATGTCTTGAGAGCAAACAACCAACAAAGCACTGTCAAAGTAACACTTCAACAAACAAAAACAAGAAAAATACCGACTCTTTTTTTCTTTTTAAAACCTTTAAACTGATTCAGCCTTAATTTATATCAATGACTGCACCCAGGGAACTTGACTATTCTCATGTATCATCATTCTATCTCCCAAGAATCTCACAGTAATAAATCACAAACGGACGTACGAGGTCTCCTAGAATGACATCCAAATCACAAACACACGTGTTCTCAATTCTACAACACAGCCCAAATCGCAAACAGGGAAGTTGGACCAAGCCAACCAACAGCTCGGCTCCTGGTTCCCTCCTCAGTGACTGGTCCCCAGTGACCTAATATTGACAGAGTGGGTCATTCCGACTATGTGACGTGAGTTCCCGCAGGACGCATCAAACTGTCAGTTCAGTGCAACGTGTGAACTCCGGTAGAAAGTGCCCAGTCTAAATTTTGCATGTGTAACTGAAGTAAAAATGAAGAAGACAAAATTACCAGTCCCAATGTGTGATGTCAGGTTGTTAACATGCATGCCTATCCCACCGTCAATGAAACATTTGTGTGCAGTATTTCAAACTCCTGATTTGATACATGTACATTCATACATAACGCAACTGAAAGGTTTGCCAGGGACATTACACTCATATCTCTCATTGACTTCAAAGATTTGCAGCTGGATCCAAAAAAAAAGGCATTGCAAAGAAGAAAAGAGGGGTAAAAGGAGTTTAAAAATCATAATAGTTGTGAACTGTTTTGAGACATTTGTATCATGTAAATAAACATGAACCAACAGTGCGGTACATGTACATGTATTGTACACAACAGGTATAATGTACATGTACACGTGCATCTACATGTACATATGGAATTGTTTAAAATTCTGTAAGCACACAAACGTTAGTTTGTTCACGATGCATTTTCTAATCCAAAAAAAAGGGAAACACAAAGTAACACATAAACCAACTCATGATGAGTTTGTTTCTGCATTCAATATGGGATGTTGAACAAAAGAGGACAGTAGGGTCCCCAATTCCCAAGGGTCCCCAATTCCCAAAGGTCCTCGATTTGGCGATGTGACAATAGGGGTTCCCTGATTGCAGGCAAATACACACTTGTATGATCCGTCTCAAAAAAAAGGAGAAACTGGGCAATCTCTGTCAAACGATGGCGCTATACGCAACAATACTGGAGATGAATAAGACATAGTATGTTCAATTTATAGAGGTCATGGCTCTCGTTTTTGGACTCCCCACTACAGCTCTCAAGTGTACTCTTCCTCCTTCTTCCCTCCTACGGTACCAGCAAGGAATGGAACTCCCTAAAAGAAGGATCCTAGTGACTTCGCAACACTCAATGCCTTCAGGGTGGCATTGAGGGAAGCCACAGACATGCAGACATCCAACTTTTTCACCGCACTCCACTGAACATGTACATATCATGCACAAGAGATTTTTTCTCTGCGTACATATTACAACTGCGCGTGCACCAACCTACAGTGCATTTATCTTCATTCCATGACGCCTGCACTATACCATGTATACCTGAAAGAAGAAGTGGTGTGCAACGTGACATGTGAATTGGTACAACATGTATGTACGGGTACCTTCAGTCACAAAACACTACAAATGCATATCCCCAAGATGTACACGCAATCATGATATTGACAAGTTACAGCTGTTTAAAGTTTGCATTCATCAACATGACAAAAGTAAAATACTGAGAAAAAGCCTTTAAAGTTTCAAAGTGGTGAAATGAAAGATGCCATTGTTTTTCCTTAAAATACACCACAGTAATTTTATTCCACTATTTTTATACAGTATTTCTTTAAAATATGTGAAGAAGACAGATCAAAGATTACCAATCAATTAATCTGAAAATTAACAACAAAAAATCAATCCCATTCATTTTTCCCCTTCTTTTTTCTCCACTACGTCCTGTGCCCAGTTATTCCCCCCCCCCCAAAAAAAAGTCTCTAAAACGTTTATAAACATGTAAATTTGTTGATTAACTCAAATGGAAAACATAACTTTGGCATCAGTAGTTCTGAAATGTACACATGTACATGTACATACATGTACAAACACATTTTGCTCAAATCATGTAGCAATCTCATATTAGAGATTTAATCAGCTGAATTTCAAGCAGGAAAACTTTTAGTACATGTTTGCAGTAAATGTACACACACGTCCGATGCAAGTGCAGATACCCAGTACTGTACCTGTAGTATACTGTATGTAACCCGTAAGTCTGATTTGGCCTCAAAATGAAGATGTATTACATGTACATGTACATACACTATGATACTGTACATGTATCCTCAATGTGTTTTTTCTGGTCTTAACAAAACATTTCAAAATCCAAAATATCACTGTTTAACTTTTGTCTGTGAAAAAAATTATGTTTATCAATCTGTTTTTGTTTTGTTTATTGTTTTTTTTTGGGTATGTTTGTGTTTTTGTTTGTTTTGTTACTTTGATCCTGGTATCTACCTGGGATTTTAGATTTTCACATTTTCAAATACATGTAATTTTCTACGTATGTGTACCATGTGTGTCACATATTTCGAGATTACAGTTTGAGAATAAATACCTGTACCTGCATTTCTTTTGGCGCAGCCCAAAGAGGGCAGACAGATCATATCCCATTATATCTGGCTGAGAAAATTCTTGTGTGGGTGTTGGCAAACATTCTTTCTACCCCAACAACAGACACTCCTGAAAATTGTTCATCATGAATGGCAATGCAAGAGGGATTTACCCGGTAGTTGACCAATATGTTTTTCCAACAAACGCACATACCGGTATTGCCGATCAATTGGAAAGTGGGGATGAGTGATCATAAGATACAAGAATTGATTTCTTTGTTTTGTTTTATTTTGTATTGTTTTTTTTATTAGAGGGGAAGAGGGTGGCGGGACGGGAGTGATGGAGAGAGGGTGGCAGGACGGGAGTTATGTGGAGGTGGTGGCGGGGAGGTGGTGGCGGGAGGGGTCGAGAAGGAGTGGGTTCATTGGGGTGGAAGAGACGCATCATCCCACATACTGTATAAAGGGAGAACTGTCCATTGTACCAGAAGATGGAAATAGACACCATTAGTGGTGTTTTACATGATGGCATGGTGAACAAGTGCGAGCATCAATTATGGTTATAGTCCAACTACCGGTACATGTAACTTCACTCAAACCCACACAAGTTGGAGTATTCTAGTGATGGGACCCGCCTGGCAAGGTTGGTACCACTGCTGGCTACCAATAGCCAGGTGCAGCACGGATTATGTACAACCATGGTTAGACTGATGACTTTGGTATTTTGTTCCCAATGTCAAACAGTAAAAATGACTAATAATAAAGACTTCTTTTAACCAGGCATCGAGAGGAATTTTTAAGTTTCACAAGACTTTCTTGGTGTTTTTCAAATTGAATGGCATACAAGAGAAGTACAAAAAAAGAAGAAACAATCCCTTGATCGGAGGGAAAGTTGCACACGTTTAAACCACTATCTGGATCCACTTCATTGCCCGTCTAGTACCCTGTTCGCTCTGACATGTTCATCATCATAGTTTGTCTCAAAAGCCTATTCAAAAATAAGAATAAACAAAAAAAATTTGCACGTTCCAGACAGTCTTTGGAAAATGCACTCTGTGTTGTCTGGTTGCCCTAGAAACCAGCACAGCCTTGCGACTGTCTTTTGGGATGCCGCAAGATCAAAGGCGAGGAATTTTCCAAAGAAATTAATTTCTGCTGTCC